GACGTCGCCTTCCATCGTAGGCCGAGAGTTTTGGCTGTGCTCTCAGTGTCGATCTCGATGAAGTCGGTTGTCAGAAGATGATCGCTTTGGATATGAGCTAATATTTCTTTGTGGTTGGAGGTCCATTTTCTCAATGGAAGCCCCGCGGAATCTAGAGCACTTTGTAGCTCGCGAACAATGAACTTAGCGTCCTCGGCGGAGTCAGCTCCCGAAAGGACATCGTCTACATACATATGAACTCGAATGACGTTGCTCGCTCTTGGATGGCTGAGCTGCACGTCAGTTGCCAGCTGTTGCAGGACTCGAATGGCCAGGAATGTCGCGCAATTGGATCCAAAAGTTACCGTCTGTAATTCGAAATCTGGAATGTGCCCCCCGCTGTTGCGGAATAAGATGCGCTGGAACGGGGAATGCTTCGGATCTACCCATATCTGTCGATACATTTTCTCGATATCGGCACTGTGGACGTATCGGAAATATCGCCACTTCAGGATCTGGATAGTTATATCGGACTGTAAGACTAGGCCAGCATGAAGGATATCATTTAAGCTGACCCCATTCTTTGAAGGGCTGGAGGCATTGGAAACCACACGCAGCTTGGTGGTTGTACTTTCCGAATTGAGCACGGCATGACGCGGAAGGCAATAACTTGCAAAATTATGGGGAGGATGGACTTCTTTCATGTGATGGAGGTCGAGATACTCTTGAATCACAGAGTCGTATTTGGTTTTCAGCTGACTGTCCCCCTTTAGGCGTTGTTCGGTTCTTAGGAACTGCGACAACGCGGGAGTCTGAAGTGACCGAGGGCGGATTTTACGTTTTCAGGATCACGAGACGGAAGACTTACGATAAACCTGCCGTTATCGTCTCTCGTAGTCGTCCGGTGAAAATTTTCCTCACAGGTCAAATCGGAAGATTTTGTCACTTTCACTGGCAGATCGACCACCTCCCAAAATTTTGCTGAAAATCCTATCCAAGGACGTGTCAACCGTGTGAGAGATTCGTGTGGAAAAAACGGAAATCTGATTTTCCCTTAGAGCAGGAACTGGTCCTGTGAGGATCTACCCGAAAATAGTTTCTTGACCGAGGAGAGAGCCACAAATGTTCGGCCGGGTGCCGCTTAGGAGAATGGATGGCCGTACGTTGGCCCCGACCAAACTAACTATCTGTGCGCTCTCGTAGAACTTTGGATCCGCTAGTTCAAAAAGAACCCGTAGAAACTGTTGCGGAATCGGACAGTTTGGGAGGTTTCCAGCTAGTTGAGGAAGGACATAGGCCGTCGGCTTTATTTGGTATCGCACGGAGGCAGCCGACAGCCAGAGGAAATGTAGGTCCGGGTAGGAACAGCTTGAACTTGGGGAGCTTAGGGTATCATATCCGCGATCTGAGCCCCACATCTCTCGTAAACGGAATAGCAGTAGCCGTATTTAGCTTTGAGAAATTGCAAACTATCAGCTGCACTGTCTCCGGCTTCTGCTATGCACCCGGTGCATTCATCATATTCTGCCTTTATGCGTTCCCATAACGCGTGTATTTCTTTGCGCCGAATGTTAAGCATGGACAGAGTAGGAGGGACCGGCGAAAAAGTGTTTGTTCTGGATACAAATTCACTCAGCCGATCTGAGACCTCAATAAATTTGCTTAGAGCAATTTGGGAAGGTGTTAGTGCCATTGTGACGTTTGCACGGGTGACCCTTTTTCGGGGCGACGAGGACTTAGCGGTTAGTTCGGGTGTGGGCGAATCTACGGATTCGTCTGGGACTACGCCACGTGGAATAGACAACTTGTTGTTAACACTTCCAACGGACATTTAAATAAAAATGACCTTTTTTGGATCAGAATCTGCTCGCCTTTGTTTATGTCGAATAAAAAAAGTAGTGCATCGGAGAAATAGAAATTGGAGCAGGTACCGACCTGGTTTACTTTGCGGAATTAAACCCAATGATACGGATTAGGAACGGTGAGTAAGGAGTTCTAATATCACCCGTGGAGAAAAAATACTATAACATTTAACCTTTTCAGTATAACTATATCGTAATTGGGATTAAGTTTGGTATTTTTTAGTGCTGGTATTTTTTGCGTTTGAAATAAATTGAAAGGGAAAAATACCAAATATGTGTTAGCATGTAGTCCCCAATGGAGTATTTGTATTATTTGTCCTTTATTTAAACTTCTGAATGAAGAAAAATACCAAATCATGCCAATAAGTTGTTGGCCGGAGGATGCTATTTGTTGATTATTTAGTATTAGAGTACTCTTTTAATTTTATTTAATATTCCGACGGAAAAATACTAAAATATACCAAAAATATTTGGGACGGATAAAACACAGTGACCAACAAAATTTTTGCGTCGTTTGGTGTAATTTTTATTTTATTGTTTTTAACCGGATGGCCGACGGAAAACTTTAATTAGTCGGAACGGGATGGTGGAATTAAAATTATATGTGAATGTATAAAGGTATGTGTGTATGTAGATATGGATATGTATGTATGTAATGTTCGCAGGTTTTATATTTATTAATTAGTTATTGCAGGCGGGTATGTGTTGTGGTGGACGTTTTCGATTTCATTGTATGTGGACTGTATTTGGAAAAAAGAAAAAATATGTGCAAGTACTTTAGCGGCTGCGGATATACAGTGAGAAAATGTTGGAAAGTTTGGGGGGCCTGAGTTGGCAGAACACTGGAAATTAAATAATTAGCACTGCATGCTTGGCATATATTTGCACAATATTTGTTCTAAGCTTGGAATTTTTTTTCTCGATTCTATTTAAGTGTATGTATGTATGGATGAGCGGCCAAATGCAATTAAAAAAAAGGAGTCGGAAAAATGGGCAATATAGCCGCACGTAGCAAAAGGAAAATCGAAGAAAATACGGCGAAGTAGGATTTTAAACAAATCGTACAGAAAATCAAACGAATTATATTTTCGAGTGGCTAACTGCAGACCGGCAATTAATAAGATGAAAAAGCTTTACTTATCTTGTTTCAAGATCCGGCTAAAAGGACCAAAATGTACGCCGGGTGCTAGCGGGGTACCGTCGGCGCTGCTAGCTGGCATGGAAGGCAGCGGCGGGAACTGGCGGCGACGGCGGGCGGCTGCGTTGGGCTTTAGCGGCTTTCTGCTGGTGCGGCTAGCTTACGTTAGATGCGACGGACTGCGTCTGAGCTGTAGGTGAGAAACCACACGATTCGCGAAGTACCCCGTTGACCGAAAGCAATTACACAAAATGTTTACTTGTAGACAAATAGAGTCGGGGGAGCGACCGCGGATTATTTCTTATGACTGCCAAAATCGAAATACTCAATCCTGCCGGAGTCCCGATTCGCAGGACAGTGGGCCTGAACAATACCCAAGTTCAGTATTCGGGAGCAGCGGCCGTTAAACATTATTTTAAATTTTCAATGTTGAGGAACGTAAGAATTTGGTGCAAGTTGTTATGCATAACGTCAGTTTTTTACGTTAAGAGGCATTCTATTATATGTAAATTGAGTCTTTGATGACCGAATTCGGTTTATCAGAGCTCGAGTTAGAAAATAAAAAAGTACGGAAAACGTTTTTTACACACAGCATTTGACTGACCTGTAGTTTCAGTACAACTGCTTATGTACTTGGTTACGGCTTCATTCATGTCCGTAAACGTTCCAGCTTGCGATATCATTGCTTTGACAGCGCTTTGACTGCTGTATTTTGATGCTAGTTCCAGGTAAGCCACATTTGTTCCTTGGAGAGCTTTTGTGAAATCGTCGACTTCCTTATCATATACTGCTGTAAGTTCATCAACTTAGCAGATAAAACCTCTTCTGATTCTTCTTTAACTGTTTTCATTAATTTAAGATATATATTGGAAATGGAATCTTCATCTCCTATTGAACTGCGAGCATGTCCTTTAAGTTCTGTTTTTATGAGTTGGAATGCTATTGGTACATAGGTTTCTTAATGGTATCAACCAGTTTAAGGGCATTTATGAAACTTCGCAAATTTTCTGCATTGACAGCAAACTAAGGTATGTGTAAAGATCCAGTTTTCAAAAATAATACTTTGGTTTGAGTCTTTGTTATGACTTCTTTGTCAATATATAGTTAACCTATCGCAAGTTACGGCGATTGCCCTTCTAATTTTGTTTATGCTTAAAATAATGCCAGACAGATGTTTTGATACTGTCCCCTCTCTTATGATTGTGTGTTAGTATGATGTTCTATTTCTCGGTAAGGAACTTTTCTATACTACTCCATCTGTTATTCATAAGACTGACGTCAAATCGATGAACTACGAATTTTTAAATTCTTCCTATTATTTGGCTATTATCAATCACGGAACTTGCAACCTGCTAACGGTGAAAACGATAATCCGAATTCTGATATATATAGTTATAGGTCTATTTTCTCAAGATAACAAGAAACCAGTTCTGACGAATGTATGTTCTACTGAATGTATCTTAGCTCGGGCTCTTGACATCTTCTTTGTCACTTCGCTATATCTTATTTTATATTTATAAAAAAAAAGAAGAAGCTATGTAAGCAAAATAAAAAAGTATACCTTTGAAGATAGAACATTTTTATTTTTATTTTTTTTAATTTTGTGTAGATCTTGAGCTCGGCACACGTGTTCGCGTTAAAAATTATCTCTGTTGATGCTCTTTTAATAGGTGAATTGCAATTTGAAAAGAACAAGATTAGTAGATCAAATGGTACGAATAATCATGGAAACACTCATTGAGTTGTCCTTGTTTTCTTTTGCATCGGCTTCCTCAGCGCTCCACCAACCCATTTTAAATTTATTAAAAGACTGATAAATATTTTAATTATAATAGGATTATGTGAAGACAACTAAGATGATATATATATATCTGTGCATGAGGTTGAGCAAAACATCATGTGCTGAACAAAGGTATAATTGTCACCAATCAGATTTATAAAAGTAGATGTTCAGTTTAAAAGTGATTTTATTGAATTGCAAGTATTCGTAACTGCTGGAATTGAGTGAGCAGCGGGCGAAATATATATGTCCTGAGACGCCTCTTTCGATGTGTTAGTGAGTGAGAGCCAGCCGACGCCGTGGGAATGCATAGTCAGCATTTTAGCCTGGCCGCTATGCAGGTCGTTGTCAACCAAATGTTGAGCTTAAACATATATATAGATATGTAAATACGTTTGTATGTATGTGTATATATATATACATTAAAAATAATAAAATAAATAATCTAGCAAGCACTTCGCTCGCTACAGCGCTAATGTAACGCGCCTACTCTCACGCCCACATAATGCTCAAACTGTGGCGCCTACAGTCTTAGTGCTAGAAAAAAGATATTAGCTGAAATATATTGATTCCTTAAGTACCTATTGGTTGCCTTAAAGTAAAGTCCATGCCCACAAACCACACAAAACTGCGGTGCCCACACAACTGAAATGTATTGGTCTCTTTGACACGAACATTCGAACGCCCAGAAGCGGCAATAACGCTTAAACGAAAAGAGTGTTCCAGTTTCTGCAGTAGCATAGAGTCGACCACGGAGGCATCCCGATTCAGAAAACTATAAGCAAAGTCTTTATCAACCATATGCTACCTAAAAACCAAGGTTTATACCTTGGCGGAAATCAGACAGAAATCTCTGGAACTCCTGCTAGACACCCACTTCCCTAAAAACTCGAAAACTATAAACTCCACATAGAGGGAAATCTCGAGGGTATAACCTTAATCTCAAGCACTGAAGGCATCAAACAACTCCTTCAAGCCCTTCAAATCCCCTAGATCTCCAACTTCAACGGACACTAACACAACCCTCCCTTGGCTGAAAGTCCTTAATCACAACTGTCTAGCACCCAACCATATATCCTCCAGTAGCCAAACACTCCCACATCACTCCAAAGGACTTTCGTCCTCCTTCTTGTTAACAACACTTGAAAGAATAGTAGACACCCACACCACATGGACTGGGAGTAAACCCAGAAAAGAAAGATACCAACCACCGAACCACCGCTACTAATGACCTGAATATGATCATCGACCTGGAACCCCTGAACTTTCTACATAGTTGACTGGAAAACAGGCTGGTCGCTTACCATACTAATTATTCCAAATTTCGTACCATGCAAAACAGACTTTGTACCATCCTCGGAACTTCAAAAAAAGGTTTAAAGTTTTCATACCATCTCGCACATCAAATCCATCTCCCACACCAAATCGAGAATGCCGTCTATATATACACAGATGGCTCAAAGCAAACAGGTGGACTAAATATAAAATTCTCTTTTCGTCTACCAAATAGGACTTCGTGTGTCCGCGAGTGGGCAGCGCCAGCTAGCTCTAGAGCACTTCGGGTGTGAGTACTCCAACCCTGCCCACACACACGCAACAATAAACAAACAGATGTTTGTATTTTACAACACTCCACGGTGCAACAGCTTTCTTACTGCTGGCCCAAAACATTGACGAAATGTGCACAGCTAAAAGACTAACAAAACCCGTGATTATCACAAAACTAACACAGGACACCATTGGATATATTGTGGGCCTTTGGGGGCAAACCCAAAGCCTCTGTGCTCCCACCCGACCGAAGCAGCCGTAGGTGTCTCCGACTGCCCCTTTAAGCGGTCACCGCAGTATACTGTAGGACTGTCTACATGTTCCCTCTTATCCGAAAGATAGGTTTACGACATGTTCATATTATTACAATTTATCCACTTAATTCATTCACAGAGTTGTCTCAGCTTCCCCGCCTGGTACAACAGTCCCACGCAGGGATTTGTATAGACGAATAGGATGTCCATATTTTTTTTTCAATCCCTACCTAAAAGACCTCTCTTAAACGGATCCCAGGCTTAAATGATACGCGACCTACTCGACGCGGTCACTGGATAGGATTATAAAGGGTCCCGCGATACAATTGAGGTCGTGTTTGTTTTGTGTTTTTGTGTTGTTTTTGGTTATTTGTTCTATGGGTTTGATAACTTAAGTCCGAAGCCTCTCCCAGAAGGAGTAACAAGTGATAAATAATAAATAAATATAAATATGAAAAAGTTCGCAGTGAATTATTCACGTTCGGCAATAAACAAATTGATTTAAATAAGTGATGTAAAAAATAAAAAATAATTAAATACGTAAATACAGTGTAATAAACGTGCAATAAATAATGTGCAAAAAATAAGTTAAGTTTTAACAATAACAAAAATCCCCACCCCAACAAAGATTATACTAAAATATATAAATAATCAAATAAATAAATACATAGCTCAATTAATGGAGGACATAACATAGATATAAAAGAATCGTTTGGAGTCACTTCTATAAGCGCGAGCATTTTTTCTGGCAGGTACTACGGGTCTATCTAAGTGGCTGTCGCTGGGGGCGCCGGATTCGACGATTGCGTAACCTTCGACTAAAAATCCGGGCTTATTCCAAAAAGCTTGGCCAGGCTCTAAGTATCGTAACCTGGAAGCTATCTTCCTCGTCTCGTCGCGGTTGACCGCAGGGTCTTGGCCAGTCCGGCTTTTCCCTGCATTCTGGGTCAATTTCCCTTTAACCTACAGTCGTTGCCAATCACTGGACCCTAAACCCACTTTGCATCCCTGGTTTTCCCGATTGCTCGATTATAGAGGGATGACGACATAACACACTTTGTGGTATGGGAGACTTTTTATTTATAGCTTCTATGTTCAACCAAACTTTTCTTACTCTCCTTACCCACGATGCACGAAAATGTCTGGTACGCTAAAATAAAAATGTTCAAGATTTTAAATGTGTAGTAAGTTTGTGCATATGTATGTATGTGTGCATGTATTCTGTGTCAGCAGTCGACCATTGCTATGGAGCTACATACAGCTGGTTGCTGACGCTGCGTTTTCTTCTCTGAAAGAGCGGTCACTGACCAATCGTTGGACACCGTCCAGGGTAGTACGATGTGGTTCGATTAGGGGTCCACCGAGTAGGTAACTCGCCTGTCATGACAACTGCCGCATCTGTAAATTTGTGGACGAGGAGGAGAACAACGAGCGCCTCCTGTGCATACCTACATATCTTTCTTTAGAATGTTAGAGAGCAACATAAGTTGAAAATCGATAGGTAGAACAAGTCCGACAAAACGGAAACAGTCGCTTTGGTGCCCACTTTGTCAAAGTGCCTACAGTGCTTAAGCCGAGTCCCTCACCCACTATAATAACCACACACGCCCCCCACATTTTTGAAGATTGAGAGCTAAAAGTTGGCATGCAAATTTAAGTAGTGCCCGTGAAGCCCATAGTTTCTTTACCCGAGTGATATGTCCACTATAGCGCCCACAAATCAAACAATTTGTGGCGCGCAAAATTTTGGAGATTTTTCTGAGTGTTCATATTATATGCCACACACTTTGTGTTTGCCTACGCGCCAAAAAATCGGTCAAATTAAATTCGTCGTTTTTAGATGATTTATTTTAAGACTCCAACGTTAAACCTTTATTCTTAATACACAATTAATAAAAGACACTTTTAAAACTTGTGAACCGATCGCGGTCTCGAACAAAATAGGACTGACTTCTTAGTTCTAAAAATGTATCCAACGAACCTCGGCCAGAAGCTTTTCTTTCTTAAGCTTCCAGAAATTTAATTTTTGTTTAAAATAAAAGCTTGTGCTGAAACTGTCACATCTCGTAGTGAAATGAAATTATGCTGACCGATGCTGTGGGCTTCGAACGAAAGAGTTTGGGCTTCGAACGAAAGCTTGTGTTTACTTTACGATTGTTTTATTTATCTTAGCAGGACGGTCAAGCGCGGCCTTTGAAGTTAATGAAAAAGGCAATAGCAGAATCTTAAACAAAGGCAAAGACAATGTCGCTGAAGGCAAAGGCAACATAGCTGAGAGTGAATTCAAAAATTTGTTTATAAATTCCATAAGTGGAACCGTTTTACGGGTTGGATAACTTGCATTTAAAACTAACAAAAAAAGAACTAAAGTGCGACTCAAAGAAGGGCTTATTATTACGCAAAATTAATCATACTTACATTCTTTATAACTGTATAGGGTCGGTAGTCGAACCCAGCTAAGATCACTTCTCGACCATGCAAGTTCTTAAGTTTGTCTGGGAAGAGGGATTTTCCCATACGAAATCGCTGTTCGGCAGCCAAATATGTGTCTAGCAATTTTAGTTGAGCAGGTTTCTCTGATTTGGGTCCAACATATTTATTTGTTTTTAAATCGAAGTTGGTGCCTAAGTAGTGATCTCGTACGACAAAGAGAATGTTTGGTTGATCTAAAATCAATAAAAATTATTATTATTTTTGTATTATATATTATATATTAATAACAAAATAAGATCCCAATAGAAGGAAGATCAAGCAGATAAGACGGCTTAACATGTTCGGTTAATGATCTAAAGGCACACCTGCAAATAACAGCTTGAAAATTGCATTAAAATTCATCTTCCTTCGCCAAGTCCCCAAGATTAACCTATTCAGATTTTCCGTTGTGAGGTCATTGAGTCCATATCTTTCTGTCTCGCTCTGACGTGATCATAGCCGTATAGTATGACCGTATATTAACAAAGGGAAATACCAACTAACATTCGGTTAAGTATGTAACATTTATAAAAGGTCAGTTTGATGAGGGTGGGATACGAAGGAGGGAATGGAATTTTGGTAGCGTTTTTGCGTAAAATTTCGTAAAAAAATGGTTTTTATGCCCGTTACTCGTATGAAAAAGGTATATGTGTCGTGTCAATGAAATTTAAAAAAAAAAGATAATTTTTAAAACAAACGATATCGAAACGATTCTTGGTACAGTCTTTATTTATAACCTTATTCGAGGTGAAATTGATAGCCCCGACTTGGTAAGCCATCTAAAGTGTCCTATTCCATGCATATTAACAAGAAATTACATTCCCCTAATTTTAAGTCATTTTAGATCTAACTATGACTTGCATGAATTTTTCAGCGTATTATTAAACCCGTTACTCGTAAAGTAAAAGGGTACTCTAGATACGTCGGAAAGTATGTAACAGGTAGAAGGAGGCGTTTACGACCCCATAAATTAAATATATTCTTGATCAGGATCACTAGCCTAGTCGATCTAGCCATGTCCGTGTGTCAGTCCACTTCAACGAGCTCTAAAAATTGTAACTGCATTGTATTGTTTTCAATCAATACCTATCGATTGACCCAAAAAAAGTTTGCCACGCCCACTTTAGCGCCCGCGAACCGCTTTCAAACTTCGCAGCGCTAGTTTGTTACGCGAATATGCCACGCTCACTGCTAGGGAAAAAATCGATTGACCCAAAAAAAGTTTGACACGCCGACTTTAACGCCCACAAACCGCCCAACCATGCAGCGCCCATAGTTTTCCTTTGTCTCGTCAAAACCTATCGATTGACCCAAAAAAGTTTGCCACGCCCACTCTAATGCCCATAATGCTTAAGTCTGTCTGCCACCCACGTAACCATACGTTGAGATCCCAGATAGCTGGCGCACTGCAATCTCGCTTTTCTGGTTGCATATCTCTATCTCCCCTTGGTCCTTTTAAATGAATAACGGGTATCTGATAGTCGAGGCACTCGAATATTGCGTTCTTCCTTTTGTCTTTCTCTACTCTTTTATTAAAAAGTGTAATAAATTATAGTCTGGGTATTCCCTAAACTGTTGAATTGCTGAATTGTTGAATTTAGATCATCAGCTGTTCCATACAAAGTCAACTGTCAGAAATTTCAGCAATTCAACAGCCTCGGGGCTGTTGAAAATTTAGTTTAATTGCTGAAAACCAGAGTTGTCGCTGTTCTCGACAAAAAGTTAGAGGGTAACTCTGGTCACTTGTAAACATGAAGGAATTGCAATCGTATAAAATATGCAAATAAAGGATATCTGATAGGATGCTGCCTAATAGTTTAGTTTTTTGGCTTATTCTCGGCATTTTCCTTAATTTTAAACATAATCTTTGGTAAGCACAGCCTGGCAATTTGACAATCTGACAAACAGCAGACATCTTAGATAAAATTGAAAATTCAACAGGGAACTTTTAGGGGCGTTCCTTGCCCTTTTCTTAATCAGGGAATTGAACCTTACCGGAAAACCAAGGTGTATTTCGTCGATTTTTTTTAAAACTATGACAGCGCTTTGACTGCTTAATTTTGATGCTAATTCCAGGTAAGCCACATTTGTTCCTTGGAGAGCTTTTGTGAAATCGTCGACTTTCTTAGCATATACTGTTTTATATTTCAGCTGTAAGTTCATAAACTTAGCAGATAAAACCTCTTCTTATTCTCCTTTAACTGTTTTCGTTAATTTAAATAATATATTGGAAATGAAATCTTCATCTCCTATTGAATTGCGAGCATGTCCTTTAAGTTCTGTTTTTATGAGTTGGAATGCTATTAATACATAGGTTTCTGATGAAATCAACCAGTTTAAGGGCATTTATGAAACTTCGCAAATTTTCTGCTTTGCCGGCAAACTCAGGTATGTGTGAAGATCCAGTTTTCAAAAACAATACTTTGTTTTGAGTCATTGTTATGACTTCTTCGTCAATTCCAATTGGAGCTAAATTATCTGAATCCACTTTAAGGGAAATCTTCGATTTCTAAAGGATCGCTGAACCCAAAAACATCCACGTTGTCTTTTTCTGAAATAATGTCAGCCAATCCAAGTCTTTAGCTTGAGGGATTGCTAATCAACCTCAATTTGTGTATTAAAGTCTTTTGGTATCTTAAATGATATACTGTACATCTGTAAATCTTTCGATAATTCAATGATCATGATTCATGTATTTTTACTGCTAAATTTAAATGTATACAGTTAACCTATTTCTGTTTAAAATTATGCTGAATGTCGAATGTATGTTCTACTGAATGTATCTTAGCTTGGGCTCTTGGCATCTTCTTTGTCACTACGCTGTATCTTATTTTATATTTATAAAAAAAGTATATCTTTGAAGATAGAACATTTATATTTATTTTTTTTAATTTTGTGTAGATCTTGAGTTCGCGTTAAAAATTATCTCTGTTGATGCTCTTTTAATAGGTGAATTGCAATTTGAAATGAAAATGATTAGTAGACAAACGGCACGAATAATCATGGAAACACACATTGAGTTCAAAACGACTACATTATTTATGACGTTGGCCTTGTTTTCCTTTGCTTCGGCTTCCTCAGCGCTTCACCAACCCATTTTGAATTTATTAAAAGACTGATAAAAATTTTAATTATAATAGGATTATGTGAAGACAACTAAGATGATATATAAAATATCTGTGCATGAGGTTGAGCAAAACATCATGTGCTAAACAAAGGTATAATTAACACAAATCAGATTCATAAAAGTAGATGTTCAGTTTAAAAGTGATTTTATTGAATTGCAAGTATTCGTAACTGCTGGAATTGAGTGAGCAGCGGGCGAAATATATATGTCCTGAGACGGCTTTTGGGAATGCATAGTCAGCATTTTATTCTGGCAGCTATGCAGGTCGTTGTCAACCAAATGTTGATTTCAAACATATAAGTGACGTATACGCAAATACCCTGGATACCAAATCCAACATACAACCTGTATATCCCGAGATACCCATTGTCGGGTCACGCAGCCGCAGCAGCCAACTAACTTCTTAATTCGATCTCTTATATTAATGGCATCGCGAAAGGTGGCTCTCTTTATCTAGCTCTCTCGTCTTTTGTGTACTTGCATTTTTCGGCCCAGCTTTCGGCTGGCTGTCTTTTTGTAAATCAGTACGAATTCTGATCTCGACATAAAACGCATTCTCGTCTCGCCTGCTGTACTCTCTCTCGCTAATAAATTGTTAACAAGCCTAAAGCAACCTGAAATTCGTATTTTAATTTAGCAACAACTAATAAAAAAGCTTATTAGTTCAACATTGGTGACCCCGACGTGATTTGTGCATAAATAATACTAAGTGCAAATCATATAAGTCTATTTATTGACTTTTTTCATTCTTGTTTCTGCGGTGCATTGGCGTAGCAACAATCATAAGGCCTTAAATGCAGTGAGCGCTATAAATAAATAGCAGTTGGTGATTGCGGAAATTTACACATAAGGCGCAAAATCAGCTATACATAGAAGCGTACATAGCCAAGTAACGGGCTGTTATTCCCTCGTTTGCTTTGCGCTCATCTTCCCGCTGGAGCCGAATTTCGGGCATTTCGTCTGCTGTTGTTGTTGTAGCCATGCCTACGGGAGCTTTTGGAGATGTTACCGCTGATGCAAACAGGGCAATATTTTTAAAGCACAAGGCAACGGCTTTATTTAATAGAGTGGAGCGCTTAGTGGATTCCCTATCAAGTGCGGCGTTAACTTCATGCGACGAATCCGGTCTTCATGTGAGGTTAGAGTTGATTGATGAGCTTCAAGAGTCATTTAAAAAGGTGCTCGGTGAGCTCGAAGAGTTGGATTTAGAGGAAATTGGAAGTGATTTAAGTGAGAAATTTGATGACATTCTCGTAACTCTGAAGTCATCGGTTCGATCCGAAATTTCAAAGCGCACCTCACAGCTTCTTTCGCATTCAACTTTTGCTGACGGCATCACTCCGGGAGTTTTCGGCCCCCAGCAGCGTCAGCCTCGACATAGGGCAGCATTGCTGCCCCCACTGGAGCTTCCAAAATTCGCTGGAGGTTATGCAAATTGGTCTGACTTTTATTCTATGTTTACCACGATCATAGATAGTCATCCCGACCTCACCAACGTAGAAAAGCTGCAGCATCTACGATCATGCCTGAGGGACGCAGCGTTGGAAACTATTCGCTCATTGGAAATTTCGGATGGCAACTACGCAATTGCTTTAGATTTGCTGAAAAATAGATTTGATAATCGACGTTTGGTTTTTCAGGCACACATTATTGAGATCCTGGGACTAAAGGCGGTGCAGAGTGGTTCCGTCTCGACACTTCGGGATCTGTCCGATAAATTCAATGCTCATATTCGTGCTCTCAAGGGACTGGGCACGACAGAACAAATCGCAGGATGCATCATCGTCCAAGTTCTGTTCCAAAGGTTGGATCCGGCAAGTCAGGCAAAGTGGGAAGAGCGTTTAGAGGACCCTGCCTTCGTCAATTTAATTCCTACGTGGGAGTCAATGGCATCATTTCTGGAGCAGCGATGCAGGACGTTGGAGACTATGGATTTCGCCATGGCAAACTATACGCCGGGCAATCAGGTGGGAAGTAACAGAATACCCAATGCGCGTAGATCAGCATTTGTTGCCTCGAACGCTAACCCCTGGATTTGTATATTCTGTAATGATACAGGGCATTCCA